TAGAAACTGGCTACCTGCTACTCACAGTGTGGTCTCTGGATCACTTGGAGGGTTTGTTAGGAATTTAGAAACTCAACATCCCTTGTCCCCAAGACACAGCAAAGCAGAATATACATCTTGCTCTGATGATTTCTTTGATTTGATGATTCAAACTTGAGAAGCAAAAAAAAAAAAAAAAAAACTTGAGAAGCAGAGCTCTAACTTCCCGTTCAGTTTTGAATAGGAAAGTATATTGCATATACTTCAGCCTGACAGGGAGGTCTTCATCTCTGCCCACCAAAATGATGAAAACACATTTACCAAGAGATGCCTATGGTTGACTTCCCCAGCTCTGGGGATGGGCCTGAAAAAAGCAGTCTTTATTTGGGGATGCTATTAACACACCTTGCCTCCCAGTGAATGCATCACAGTTGATATAGCCCCGAGGCTTCATTGTCCACACCCATTAGAAATATAGATTAATACTTTTCATTTGGCCAGAGAGAGCTGCCTATTAACCCTAATTAACCTGGGCTAGTTAAAGGCACCAGCCTAGAATGCCTTAGTCCCGATGGCCCATGAGATGGAATCTAAGAGCCACATAGATCAAAAGATGCTGCTCTGTAGAAATTATAAAGCCCACTGAGGCACCTCCACCTACCTCTAGTGGAGAGGGATAGGTAACTGCTGTAAGCCAGGCCCCAAAGAGAAAGAAGTCAAAGCAGCAGGGTGGCGAGCTGCTGGGCTTCTCTTAGAAGCCAGGCTCACGTATTCATCGCAAGACCAGGTTTTTATTTCCTTGGGGAGTTCACCATCTCTTAATCACAAAAGCAATAAGGATTTCCAATATGTTCCTGTGCCGTGCCTAATCAGTTGTTCCAGCTGCCAGTCATCAGCCATGACTGGAAGTTCACTTAAAAGCCCTCTTCCAGCTTTGAACACAGCACTGACCCCCAAGGTGACACAGACAATGAAGGCCGCCTGTGTGTGCTGCTTGATTTGATCACAACAGTTTTGTTAATATTGTCCTGTATTCTGGAGGGATCCGTTCTCTTCCTTATGCTTTGATCGATAGGCCGCGTTGTATGCCCCCTTGGTTGAGTTGGGAAAATCATTTTGAGTGTGCATGGAAGGAAATTTTTCCTTTTGTGAATGACCTCATAATTTCATTCTAACATGGAGATTTTTCTTCCTAAGGTTAGAAATCATTTGGCAAAGTTTGAGTATTTGTCAGTAAGCATGTTTTGTAGTGAGTAAGTCTGTGAGAAGTCAGCAGGTATTCAGGCTCAAAGCATTAAAAGAGATTAGCACCTGCCTCACCTGCCTGGTACCAAGGAGGTGCTGGAATATTGTGTTTTAATGAACAAATGCATAAATACATTTGAAAAATTCTTGGGCTATGGTAATTAAGATTGCTTCTGGATGTGCAGTGTGATAAAATCAGATATTCCTAGAAGTTGTGTAAACTGAAAAGACATTTTCTGTGCCATAATGACAATTTCTGAGAAATACAGGTCTTTGGTAGAGGCTTGGGACAATCCTATTGAAGCCATAGCTATCTGACTCCAGAGAGTTGTTCATTTTATTAGAAGGGTATGTGAGATGGGAATTGGATGACTATTAGAAAGTGTCTCAATATTTTCTCCAAATTTCTTGGCATTATTTTGGTCACAGGTGTGAACTACAACCAGTAATCCTGTCCTGAATTCTGTATGCCAAGTGATCTATATAAACATTGAATTATAAGCTTTTACTATTAGGTTGTAACTCACCAGAAACAAGATTTTCCTATACTTCTCGTACCATTTAATATGGAAAGAAGCAGGTCATGTGCTTTGTTTTAGCATCAGGGTGATTTATTAAATCCTCCATAAGAAATTGTTCAGCATACTTTCCAAACTCAGAAACTTTACATTGAACTCTGAAGCCTTATATTTCTTATTCTTATGAGGCCCCTGTCAGAAGAACACTTCCTATTTCGGTGTCATGAATCTGCTATAGCAGTAAAGGGCCTGGGCACATGTGGACCTCAGCACAGTTGGAAGACAGGTTCTTGAGCCTTTAGCCCTGTACCAGACACCTTATATATACTGCCTCACAACCTCTCTAACACTTACCTCTCCTGGCCATTGCTGTGGCAGCTGTTAAACAGGCATAGCTTGACGGTCCCTCGCATCAGCTGCACCACATGCTCCTGTTTTCTGCCCCAAATTTTCTCCAGTGCTCCACTCTGGGTCATATGCATACCTGGAAGTATGGAAATTAACACTTCCCTGGGGCAACCCTTGACCAATGGGGATAGGAGTTGGTAGATAAAAGTTCCTTTCTGTCCATGTCCTACACACTGAGCCCCACAATGGAGTCCATTGGCATTTAGAGTGGGTTTGTCTTTGTTCATTCAACAAACACAATGTTGTTGGAGATACCAGGCACCAAGGATGTCTTGTTCCCTAGTATACCCCAAGACCTAGCTCCTTGTCTGCTACGTGGGAGGTACTCCATAAGTGTTTGCGGAATAATTGTCTGCTCAGAGCATAATGAGGTAGAGGACATTATGAGCAAAAGCACAGTAGTATAAATTGCCATGAAATGTTTGAGATGTAGTCAGATGTCTCCTTTGGCCGAAGCTTAGGGGGTATTGTGGAGCCATAAATAAAATAGTGTATTAAAGTGCTTTGAAGTTCAATGCTCTATACTATTAAGTCTTGGTATTTTTGTAGAATTGATGTAAACAAGTCTTTTCCCCTGGCTGGGTTGCAACCTCCTCAATGACAGAGATTCACAAATGTAGAGTGGCTAATGTGTAGTAGACACTTAATAAATATTGAATTAAAAATAATGGTGGATGATGGATGGATGGATGGATGGATGGATGGATAATGAATGGTTTGGTCCTGACTATTAAATAAGATGAAGAACAGACCTTCAACCAATTCTGACTTTGAGTGAGTGACAGGCTATGAACAATACTAAAATTTCCAGCCTACTTCATTGTGCTAATACCAAATGTAGCAAAGTAGTTAATAGAGACCACTGGGAAATACCACATTTTCTGTGGTACCACAGAGTAGAGCATAGAGTATGCACCACAAGTTCTCTGTTGCCCACTGGGTTATAAACAGCAAGGGCAATGCTTCCCTTGTGATAAACACAAAGACATACTACAGAAATACCTCCAGAGGAAAATAAGTGATGGGTGTATTCAGCAACTACAATAACAACAACAAGCTAACATTTGTACACTAAATTGGGGCAGGGGGAGTTAGCTGCACTTTCTCTGTGACCTCTTATTATTCCATTAGTTTCTGGAATAGTATATAAAACACCAAGCTCCATGCTCACAAACACCAATGTTGAAACTATTGCCACAGTTGATCCAAATAGCCTTTTCCCCTGAGTAAAATTATTATTTGGAATACAAGCAGAATTGTGGTTCCCTGAGCTAGCAGAGCATAAATGAGGGTAGTGATTCATAAGGTGACTCTAGTGAGTTTGCAAATGTGCAACTTTTATAGAGGCTGACGCACACAACAGAGGCTTTGCCTTGCCTTTTGAGCTGGTAAGCACTTTCTGGCCTCACTACCTCTTCAGGATGCTGAGGGCTCTGGAGGATGCAGACTTCTGAGGACAAGCCTTAACCTGACAGAATGCTGATTTACCAGAAATAAACCCTTCAAATCAGATCACACCCCTGTCAGTAGCTTTTTGAGCGGGAAGATGGTAATTCTGCCTCTTCACATGTTCCTTTAAGTACTTGAACTCTTGTTCCATTGGATTAAGATTTTGGGGGCTGGGTCATCCGGGGTCTTAATTCTATCCTGGAAAGGTTGGAGGAAAGAGGTACTGGTCTAAAAATACTACTCCCTGAACTTTTAAACCTTCAACTCTTTTTGATAATGTGTCTTCTCTTTCTTAATCCCAAACCTGATTTCTTTTATTTTAAAAAAATCCATTTATTCTTTGATATCAGCAGTCTAAGTTCCAAAAGAGCAGATATGGGTATAGAGCTGAGCATGGATAGCATTGTACAGAGAAGGAAGTTCAGAGAGTCCGTGTAATGATGCCAGTGTGATTGCGCATAATGAGGTGTCTGCCGAGTGGGTCCCAGACACTGAGATCCTCTCTGATAGACTCTGAAAGTGACAAGCCCCAAGTTCTTCTGCAACATAGTACCAATTAGCTGATCTAAATGGGCACATATTCAAGTTTGAGGTCACATACAGTTCTCAAAGGCGAGACTGCCCCTACAAATGGAGTTCTAAACCTCATAATCTGTATCACAATAGGCAACAGTGGGGTAAGACCCCCCACATGCTGTGATTGAGACCCCCATTTTCCTATTTTGTGGTCTTGGGAGAGCACTTCTTTTTGATTTTGATGAAGACCAAGTTTATTCATCACACTATCCGGGAAATGTGTGGGGTCAGTTAGACTCTAAAGTTAAAAAGTTAAAAGGATGTAGGATCTTGTGCTGATGCTGGGATAAGCAGAGCTCCATTCTCATTACATTGATTGAGCATTGGCAGAGCCACCCATCTGACTCACTGTGGCTCCCTGCAGCGGGAGTGGGGGGTTGTGGGGGGGGTGGGTTACTGACAGTCTTGTGCCATTCCCTGTCAGCTGACCAAATATTCTGTTACCTGATTTTCATCCTCTGTGACTAAAAAGCATGCACACAGAAACCTTTGAATAGATGCAAACAGTACAAGATTGATTAATTATACAGTGGCCAGACAGGGAACTGGCAGGGCAGGGCAGCTCTTAGGAGACAGACCGTGAACACCAGCCTTGAGCGAGTGAATGTGAGTTCCTGAGATGGCGGTTAGGCATATTAGCCAAGGAACCTGTTCCACCACAAACACAAAAGCTGTGTATATCCAAGAAGGGGAGAACCATTCCCTGAGAGCCACCCAGAGAAAAACAAACAAGCCCCTAAAATATGCTTCCTGTCAGCCTTCAATATTTAAAAAATGTGTGCTTCCTTTGGGGTGAGTCTCATGCTTCTTTTCCCTTGATTTCAGCTCCCATTTTCTCCAGCAATCATTCAAGCCGAAGTGGAACAGCTGCTGGGGCCGGGCCACCCCCACATCCTGTCAGTCACCCTTCTCCAGGACATAATGTACAGGGGAGCCCCCACAACCCCTCCTCCCAGTTACCTCCACTCACAGCTGTGGACGCAGGAGCTGAGAGGTAAGGCCATCTGTCTCTCTCTCGTAATAGGTGTCGTCGCCAAACTTTTCTCCATGGAGAAGAGCTTTGACAGTTGTTGAATTTTATTAATAATCCGTTGGTGGGTTGAGTTACCCAAAGGTGACATTTTAAAAGTAGCATACACAAAACACAGAGACCAAATATCTCATTATCTGTTATATTTTTCCATTAGAAAACAGTATTGGCAAAAGCTGCTAAAGTGTCAGGTTCTGGAAAGCTGCATCAGAATGTCCCTGTCTTTTTTACTTTTCCATAGTTTATTTTAGGGACTCAATTTTAAGGTAATATATGCACAGGCTGAGGTGTTTTCCAGATGTAAGATGGTACCCTAGTTAGATAGTAGTGTAAGCGTGTGTGTTAGCATTTAATTACTTTGGCAAAATACCTGAGATAATGAACCTATAAGGAGGAAAGGTTTGTTTGGGCTCCTGGTTTCAGAGGTTTGAGTTCATGGTTACATGGCCATGTTTCTTTGGTCTGTGGCAGCACATTTCATCATAGTGGAAGAACATGGCGGAGGAGGCCTGTTCCCCTCATTGCAACCAAGACCAAAGAGAGATGGGAAGGGACAGGTATCACCTAACTTCCTTCCACTAGGCCCCACCTTTTAAAGGTTCCATTACCTCCCAGTAGTGCCACAGGCTGGTGGCCTATTCGTCAACACATGCCCAATGGGGAACATTCAAGATCCAAAGTGCAGGAGCTTAGGAGCAGAGCATAAAAAGCAGAAGGGAGCTGGCTGTTCACTGGAAACTTTACATTGATGTAACTCGAATAAAGTTTTCTGGGGGAGAATCTATAAACAACTCTTATCTTCATGATATTCTTACTTCTGAATTCTCTACTGGCTCCAGAGATTTTGATGAACCCTTCTCATATTTCTGCTCCTGTGTGCTTTTGAATATCACAAACCAAAAGAAGAATCTGCATAGTAAGTAAAGTGATCTAGGCATTGAGGGAAACCCAAGGCTCTTCCAGATGAATAAATGCAAAATAGCATCCCTGACAATAAGAAGAACATGTACAAGATGTGAGGTAGGAGAGGAGGCGCATCAGGGAGGTCTCAGATAGTAGGCCTCTAGGGTGCACATGGCTGATGGAGGCACATCATGATAATGGTGGGCCGGCTCATGTGGGACCATATTTTGTATGCTATGGTAAGGAATTTCCCCCCTTATCCTACTGTAAACAAAGAACTATTATGGGCTTTTTATTGGAAAGAAACACAATCATATTGACATCATGGGGACAAGATAATGGAGTAATTGAAGTTGGAATAGGGGGAAAAAGGCTGAGGCTGCTACTGGAAACCATGAGAGCAATATGATAACTTTTAGTAAGGCAAAGAAATAAGGATTTGCTATAGGAAGAAAAACTGCTCATTATTTTACACACACACACACACACACACACACGAGGAGGGACCAAAATCAATTTCTGAGTTTTACCCCTAGAAACCAAGATGGAAAATTGTACCATTAATACAATATGCAGTAACATGGGGGGAAAGAGGCTGTTGGGTGGAGAGAAGGTGGGGATGATGAATTGACTTTATAGGGGTTTGAGTTTTAAAATTTTTAGTTTTAGGGGATTGTGAAAGATATATGTACATTTGTCCAATGGACAATTAGAAATATGAATCCAAAGATCAGACTTATTTTAACAGTTCTGTGGGTGTGGACAATGCTCTAGCTTCCTCTCAGTCTCAGTAAGCAAAGCTCAAGTGATTATCATCCATTAAGTTCACAGACACTGTTCAGAGACACACCTTTCCAGTTATCTGGTATATTCCTGTAAGTTGAGATGAGCTTATTTCTTCTAACATTTTATATAGTTTCCAATTGGGGTTAAAATTCTATTAGCTGTGGGCTTTTTGTCATCTCATTTCTTTCTGTCTGGCTGAGAATCATACCCCACAAGTTCGCTTCTTCACTGCATCTCTTTATTAATAGTCATAACAACCCCTAACAAAAATATCAAAGGAAAGTAATCATTGGGTTGCCTTCTTGTATAATCCTTTTAAAGAATACATGTAAGAAAAGATTTTAAGCAGTATTGTCTTTAGAAACAACTGAGATAATGCAGTTACCTGATGTTTGCATCCCAGCTCTGACAGTTGCTAATTGACTGTGGGCAAGTGCCTTAGCTGCTCTTCTTGCTTGTTTGTTTTTGACATTTTATTTTATTTCATATCTTTTATGTTTTTAGTTCCTTCTTCAAAATTTTTAAGTATACTATAATGATACCCATATATACTGCATCCATATTCACCCACTGTTCATATTTTGCCATTTTGTCTTTCTCTCTTTCTCTCACCACCCCTTATGTGGGAGATACTATACTTGTTTACTTGCTTATTAGTTTTAAACCATTTGAGAGATACTTGCAAATATCATTGAACTCTATCCATAATTATTACTTCAATAGAGATCTATTTAGAAGAACATTCTCCTCCATAAATCCAATACAACAATCATAATCAGGATATTTTAACACTGATACATTACTGTTATCTAATAAGTTATTGATATTCAGATTTCCCAAATTTTGTGAATAATGTCCTTTATAGCTAGAGGGTTTTTTTTAAATTTTTCTTTCCTTTTTATGAGTCAGGGCTCTAAAAAGGATCACACAATGCATTTAATTCTCATTTCTTTATAGTCTCCTTGAATCTAATGGAGTCCCTCAGCTTTATCATCATCATTATCACCATTGTCTTTCAGGACACTGATGTTTTTTGAGGAACTCAAGACATTTGTTTTGCACAGTGCTCCATGGTTTGGGTTTGTCTGATTGTTTCCTCCTGAAACATTTTTGGTAGGAATACCGCATAGGTGTTCCTTAGCTTTTTTTTTTTTTGGTTTTATCTTTTATTGATTTTATTTTTTTTAAATACACGAGAGTAATGGAATGCATTACAATTCTTATTACACATATAGAGCACAATTTTTCATATCTCTGTATATAAAGTATGTTTACACCAATTCATGCCTTTATACATGTACTTTTTTGCATTACAATTCTTATTACAGATATATACCACAATTTTTCATATCTCTGTTTGTATATAAAGGATGTTGACACCCAATTCAAGTCTTCATACATGTACTTTGGATAATGATGTCCATCACATTCCACAGCCCTTGCTAATCCCCTGCCCCTCCCTTTCCCTCCCACCCCTCTTCCCTATCTAGAATTCATCTAATCCTTCCATGCTCTCCCTCCCTATCCCACTATGAGTCAGCCTATTATATCAAAGAAAACATGCAGCATTTGGATTTTGTGGATTGGCTAACTTCACTTAGCATTATCTTCTCCAATGCCATCCATTTACCTGCAAATGCCATGATTTTATTCTTTATAATGCTGAGTAAAATTCTATTGTGTATATATGCCATATTTTTTTATCCATTCATCCACTGAAGGATATCTAGGTTGGCTCCACAGTTTAGCTATTGTGAATTGTGCTGGTATAAACATTGATGTGGCTGTGTCCCTGTAGTATGCTGTTTTTAAGTCCTTTGGGTATGGTCCGAAGAGAGGAATAGCTGGGTCAGATGGTGGTTCCATTCCCAGATTTCCAAGGAATCTCCATACTGCTTTCCAAATTGTCTACACCAATTTACAGTCCCACCAGCAATGTATGAGTGTACCTTTTCCCCCAAATCCTCGCCAATACATATTGTTGTTTGTCTTCATAATAGCTACCATTCTGACTGGAGTGAGATGATATCTTAGAGTAGTTTTGATTTGCATTTCTCTGATTGCTAGAGATGATGAGCATTTTTTCATGTATTTGTTGATTGATTGTATATCCTCTTCTGAGAAGTTTCTGTTCAGGTCCTTGGCCCATTTTTGATTGGGTTATTTGTTTTTTCAGTGGTTAGCTTTTTGAGTTCTTTATGTACCCTAGAGATTAGTGTTCTATCTGATATGTGAGGGGTAAAAATTTGCTCCCAAGATGTAGGCTCTGTGTTCACCTCACAGATTGCTTCTTTTGCTGAGAAGAAACTTTTTAATTTGATCCCATCCCATTTATTGATTCTTGGTTTTAATTCTTGTTCTATAGGAGTCTTATTAAGGAAGTTGAGGCCTACTCCCATATGATGAAGATTAGGACTTTCTTTTTCTTCTATTAGACGCAGATTCTCCGGTTTAATTTCTAGGTCCTTGATCCATTTTGAGTTAAGTTTTATGCATGGTGGGAGATAGGGGTTTAATTTCATTTTGTTGCATATGGATTTCCAGTTTTCCCAGCACCATTTGTTAAAGATGCTATCTTTTCTCCAGTGCACGTTTTTGGCACATTTGTCTAATATAAAATAATTGTAATTTTGTGGGTTAGTCTCTGTGTCCTCTATTCTGTACCATTGGTCTACCAGCCTATTTTGGTGCCAATAACATGCTGGTTTTGTTAGTATTAGTCTGAGTTTTTGAGACCTCATTTGCAACTTACAGGGAATTAGAATTAAATGAACCAAAGAAGTTAACATGCCTAGCATGTTATATGGCATGAAGCAGGCATGCAGTAGCTTAGCTGTGGATACTCAGGTAGATGGGACCTCGGCATTACTGAGGGATTCGGGTAGGGAAGCCAGAGGATGCTATTAAGTTATCACAGTGATTGATAATATAAATAATCATGGAATAGAAGATGGAGAAAAGGGATGGGATGGTATTCTGTATGGGTTGGTGGACGTTTGTACTTTGGTGGCTTTCCTTGCTGCCCAACTCTTCTGCAGGATGTGTGTCCTGACCCAGTGCCAACCCAACTGAATGTGAGCAAGTGTGAGTGTGGCAGGTTATCTCTTCCAATCTGGTTTGGTGAAGAGGATGACGTGTAACAGCCCTGAATTATTCACTGTGTTTTTATTAGTGACCCGGATAAAAACACGTAGAGGAAATGTGCTTACCTTCCGTTTGGGGTTTATATATCTTTGCCTCTGTTTGCCTGGGAAATCCCCCAGTAAAAACTCAAG